GTGGGAACAAGACGTACTTAGGCTTATTGTGGGACTCATTCCCGCGCTCCACGAATACCCTTTCACACTGTGGGGCCCTTTTAATTACGTCACTGTACTTTTGATTGTAGCATGCAAACAAAGAGCGGCTGAGATTTCCATCAAAGGCACCGCCGCCATTTCGCTTTGGAATCTCCAAGTTTGTTTGGTCAACAAATCGCGGTTTTATTCCGGCTGCTAATCCCTGCTAGCGTTGAAGCTTTGTTCCCTCATTCCATGTCTGTTTGAAAATTTGTAAGAGTCAGTCAGCATTCTTTCTCTCCTACATTAATATCCTTCTAAAGGCTGCTATCTAAGGCCTGCATGTACATTAGAATTTTGGGGACGGTGATTGCGTTAAGGTCAGACGATCCGTCTAGGTACGCGGTGAAATACGTAAATGAAAGCGATGAAATAGGCAATTTCACACTTTTAAGAATCAAATGTGGCAATGACTTATAACTCGAACGCTGTTCTGGGGAAGGGTTTGAGGTTATTGTCCTGAACTGTATTTCAAACGAATTAGCAAATTTTTCAACAATCTTTTTTCCTGATAGAGGACTTTCTCTTACCTTGTGAGTTCTTAAAACTCGGAGAGTCGACGATTTGGAAATGTTGGAGTTTACAGAGGCCATTGTAATGACATGTTGTCCCTCTAGCCCACTGCTTTTCACTCGCTTTTGTAATGAATGTTTAATCGTGGAGGTAGAATCACACCTCCATGGTTTAATAAATACGTTCTCCGTTTGGCATCCAGTCCCTACTACACTCTAATAAAGTCTAAAAACACCTGGGTCAGACTGATCCGGGTGTTTTTAGAGTGTGTCTTTTCCGGAAATGTTGTCCCCAGAAGGTTCTCCACCCAGATTTACCGTTTTCGTAAACCTTATTTTCCCAGACAAGGTCCGCAAGAAATTTTACCTTCACTTGCTGAACCGCTTAATGCACAGGGGCCAACGCGAGTGAGGCCGTGACCAAAACAAACATAACAACAAACCCCTGTGTCAAATTTATTCACAATGAAAATTTGTACGTATTATCTTGGCTTATTAAGCTGCAAAAAGGGTAAGGCATAAAACTAGCGAGACCTTAAAGAGAATTATTGTTTTGATCACGCACTGCATACAGCCATGTGATTCTTTAATTATATTAAATTCATCAAGCAAAAGTTATGATGCTAGTCGTCGCCATTGTTGGAATTTCGGGCCATAAAGTATATTTGCACGTAAGATGGTTAAAATGAATGACGCGAAGGTTTGCATGGGGATGAATAAAGGAACATTCAATGTTCTTCTAGCGTGTAGGACCTTCCCTATTGCGAAACACGCATTTTTGTGGGATAATGTTAACGGTACCCCCCAAAAATACCAGCCGCAGGGCCAACATTAACCAATGCGTGTGCTGACATCTGGGCCGTGTAATGCGTCTAATCGGGACGCCCCAGGTTTGGTTCGTCAATATTTGAGTGTTGACTCGCGCATTAGTGCGAGGCGACTATCCTACGGGCGCGTATTTGCAGAAATCCACGGGGCGTTTAATCAGATTAGTCAGAGAAGAAAGTGTTACACACAGCGTTTAATACATGTTTGACGCAAACAACCACACGAACGTAATTCGCTCCAGAAAATTAACCAATCAGTATCCGTTCTGGGTCCCAGACGTCATTTGCAGATGCCGTGGTGGGACAGTGGTGCATCGGCAATGTTTACTGTGTACATATAAGTTTGTGGTCTGACCGCGTACATTTTATAATCATTAATTGGTACAGCTCTGCTCAGCAGTATGCACCTGTGTTTTCCCATTGGAATTTTATAAACGAATGCTGTGGATGGGAAGGTAGGTAATTAAATTTAATGATTACTGATTGTGTTTCATTAAAATTATTTTCATTTTTCCCCTGACTATTCCACTCAAATTTGACACACGCTCATAGCGTATGCCCATTACTAGTCACTGAGTCCCTGTTGTTAATTGTATCAACGTCTTTAGTTTCATTTCTTCACGAAAAATCCAATTGCAGAGTTGAACACATTGGAGCAAAATTATCCAAACAGGTGAACTTTCATTCCAAGCAAATGTTGATGTAATGAACGACCTGTTTTCAATCGCCTTGCACTGAGAAGGCTTGTGTGGAAACCACAGATTTAACCGTCGTTTGCAGGTCTGGTTCTAAATTTCATGAGATGAGGATTTTGTCCACAGACGTACACCTTTATTTTATTAAAAACGGGTTTCAGGAGAGGGAAGATGGAGACTCATGCACCTAGTGGTACGCATTTACCTATGAATAAGAACAGACGTATGCGCACGACGCATATGCATCTCTTGTGTGTACATTTGTGTGTACATGCACATAAGTATCGCATTATATGTAGTACAGGATTTTAAAATGAAACTCGCTAATCGCCACCTAGAGCTATAACTCAAGCAGAAAGTTATTTGTTTTGACTTGAAAGTCATTTGTTTTTAAGGGAAAGTTCAGGATGCCGTCTCAGCAAGAACGCGAATGCCAGTCCCCGGAGCGGTCGGATGAGACGGACACCAGCCTCGTCGGTCAGACCCAGCTCCATGAGACTTTGCTATGGTAGGTGGGGGAGTTGTTTGACGTAACTGTACACACTGTGGCCAGTGAACTCCTTTTTGGACAGAATATGGCGCCAAGTAATAACTCAGTGCATGACATCCATCATGACTGGGTCCATCATTGAAACGGTGACTTTTGGGCAAGTTTTAATCACGAACTGAAATGAGACCATCGGTAAATCTCTTCCATTGCCGCGCGTTGCAGTTCCATTAAAAGAATGTTTTGAGAAATTTTACTTACATTTTGACGTTAATTAGTTGCATATCTCGCTACTTTTGTGTCTTTGCCTCCCGAACATTGCTTTTTACTCCAGTGGTTTTCTCTTTACTAATGACGAAAACGGATATTGATAACATTTAGACCTATTCAACTGTGCCCCAGGCTCGGTTTCAAATTGACTCGACTTGAATATCCCAAAGATTGCATGAAGTTGGTCGGACCATGGGTAACTTTGAAGCCCCATTTAACTCGCCCTTAATTCAACACGGAATCTTGTAAACAAAGCGTTTTGCGACTTGTCAGACCTGTTTCCTGTGCAGTACTAGGCAAACTGAGAGGGTTATTCAAAGTGCAAATCATCCCTGATCAATAAAGCACGTGCACATGTATATCAGGATCAAGACTTGTTAAATCCTCCCTCATGCAGGTTGAACGAGAACTATGAGAGAGCTGAGGGCGTGTGCTTGCCTCGATGTGTGTTGTACACGCATTATTTGGACCTCTGCAAGAAGAGAATTTTCACTCCGGCGGGGGCTGCCACCTTCGGCAAGGTTTGTACAGGCCGATCTTTTGTTCACAAACTTTGACCTCCATTTTATATCGACAGCGAAAGCTAACTTATCCACCCTTGCTTACATCAGTTATAATCTGTCTCTCTAAAAACATTTGTCGTTGAAGGCACAACATATTTTTGATTAGGTCTATACTTAAAATGATTGTGTAAGTGTAATGTTTAATATAAGTCCGCAGGCTTTGTTTTCGGTCTTTACATTCATTGACAACCAAAGCACATCACAAAGGGAAAGCCAGATTATTTTTTGCACGATGATCTCTACCATATTATCGGGGTATAATCATAAAGACCAGTGGTATATGCTATCAGCCTCGATCTGGACCAAGAGAGGGCGCAGTTTTCGTAGCAACGCAGACTCTTTCAGTCGGAACGGAATTTCGCTTGTTCAAGAACGACAATGAAATCCACGTGTTACGATCGCATCGCCACCTAGTAACGAACACCCCCGACCAATATGGTTCTTTTCAACCGATGAAGGGGTGTGTCAGATCCAGGCAGATAGGTACAGAGCTTTTCATTGAGCAGTCTGGGGACATTACACTCGTCACGAAATCCCTTTGTTGTCTAATAGAACCAAATTTATCCTCAAAGTAAAAAAAAAGCTGATCAGTGATCTCTTTCCTCAGATTATTCGGCAGATGTTTCCAAAGCTCACCACAAGAAGGCTCGGCACAAGAGGACAATCAAAGTAATTTTTTTTCAAAAAAATCCTTGTACTTTCAAAATTGTGGTTAAGTCTAAATTCTGTGGCGAATTCAGTGGGAGATGGCAGTGAAGGAACGTGTTGCTTTTTAGGAACGAAAGACGTCAAGACGTTAGAAACAGTAACCCTCCGGACAAGAGGTGACAAATCTTTTATGAATGAATGAAATAAATAAAAATTGCTCGGCTGTCATAAAACTGGCCATATTTCCCCGGGACTCAAAACCTGTATATAGACCTAATCCGATTTGTTAACAGGATTTTAAGATACCTTTATCCAATCAATACACCTCACTGTAAGTGTTAGGCTTGACTTCAGCACTTAACATTTAGACAGAAAAAACTGTTTAACGAGATTAACAGTTGTCTACAAATCGTTTCGCCAAAATGGCGATTGAAATTTTCTGGACATTGTTTAAATCTAGTCAGCACAACAGAAGTTTGCTTCTTTTGTAACACGTTCCCCGACTTCAGGTACCACTACTATGGTATTGGCATTAAGAAGTCATCCATCTACTACCACTCCGTTTACTCCGGCAAGGGACTGAGCCGGTAAGTTTGTCCACTGTATGGGTGGCGGGGATAGGCTGCTTCATAAGCCGGATTTTTCAATGCTAGTCTTCTAATTTGGTAAAACTTTTGTTCATTGTACGAGTCTCCAGCTCGACCAAGAGAGGGCGTTATTGCTAGAAACGGACGCTCCTTTGGTCGGAACTGAGCTTCCCTGGTTTACCATCTTAATGCACGTCTCGGTCGCATCGCTATACAAACAAACTGAACACTTACGACCAGCCCTGCTCTTTTCAACCGATGAGGGGGTGCTGCTGTTCAAGGCTGAAATCTGCTTCGGGTTTATCTAACAGTTGTGTGTGTATGATTTTTTTTTTACCTGAAGTGGACAAAATGTAACATTCAAACCAATACAAGGCGACTAGTGCCCCAAGCCTTACAACTCCATAGAGACCTGCCTTGTGAAAGTTATCAGGAGCAAGTAAATTAATCTTAATCATAAAGCATCACAGCAGTAGCATCACCGAAAATCGATTTTCAGACTTTCTTCTGCCACAAGTATCGTCATTTCCATTCATTCTGTGACTTTTTCACAAAATTATAATAGACATGAACGTCTTTAGGTCATGTGACTGTACCTAGTCCTGGTTCTGTTTTGCCTACGTGCCTACTAACCCAAATTTTATTTGCAAAATCACTTTTTTTAACAGATTTTCGGAATCTAAAGTAAAAACAGAGGTGAGAAGTTTTTCGTAAGGTTTGTTTTCTTTTTTGAAGGGCCACGAATCGATGAAATTCCTTTACATTTGCATTTCCTAGAAGCAAAACTGGTAACGATGTTCCTTGGAATTATTTTCCTATTACGAGACATGAACCAAAACACAATTTTTTAACAAGTCTGGTGATTGTACTCTGATAAAATAAAAAGTAGAATTATTGGAGGCTGACCAGATTGAAAACATTATTGTGACAGGATGAAACCGTAATGTCTGTTTATGTTAAGAGTGTCCGACTATTGCCAGTATATTAGGACGTATGAGTTTTTGTGATTATGGCAAAGGCATCAATTCACATTCATTTCCAATTTTCGACAGGGATCTGCGCGGAAATTTTCTCTGAGCTCAAAGTCTGGGACCCTTCTCCCAGATTTCCCAACAGCAGGCAACCTGGTCATTCCTGATGACATCAGTTCGGAAAAGGTACCAATCGACTATATACTTTACTCCAGATTTCTTTAGCTTGCACCTTTGTGTCTCTTTGTTTGAACTCGTCGTAGTCTAGATTTTGCCAAAGAGTTTGAAGGTTAACTTTGGATCAATTGTTACAAGTTTGACTGGTCTCCTGTATAAACACAGGTAGAGACATTCTTACTGATGTACCAGACTCACTGCCAGCGTATTTTGGACACCATTGTGTCTTCAAACTTTGAGGAGGTAAGAATCGAAAACAGGATCGTAACCACAACTGCTAGTCTAAGTTTAAGGGTAAACAGTTGGCATAAGTGCATTGGATCTTGTGGCCAGGTATACATTTTCTGTTTTTGTTTGATTTGTTCTGTTATATTTTTGTTTCTTTGTTTTTTCTTATTTGAAGGTAACGATAGCGACGACCTAATTAGAAAGATTGAGTTAGCCCTGAATTTTTATCCCGAGGTCGCGGGATAATGTTGTTTGTGAGTTTATTTTGCAGGTACAGAACTTCTTGCTCCACTTCTGGCAAGGCATGCCAAAACACATGCAGTCGCTTCTCTCCTCTGACGTCATCATTGATGTCATTGCTCTGTGTGACTCGGTTTTGTACAAGGTAAACGAACGAGAGGTCATTACTTTTTGCCAGACACAAATGATAGGCGCCCAGGCAGTCTGACACTGGCACACGTCCACGGTCCAATGGCACTTTTATAACTTGTGGACTTTTGTTGAATAGCCCTCATACTATCCTTAAGCCTATCCCCCGAGCGAGACCAAGAGAGGGCGCAATTTCCTAGCTCCTTTTGTAGAGACCCCACTTCGCTGGTTCACAATCGACTATGGAATGTGCGTGTTACGGTCAGGCTGCTACCAACAAAAAGAACATCCTCACCGTACCAGAATGACACCTTTCCACTGATGAAGGGGTGCTTCTGCCCATTCAAGGCGGATACCCAACGTTAAACTAACCCTAAAACCCCCGAACCCTGCCAAAACGACATTAAAAGCGGTTCCAAGAGTACCCTACACAACCAAGGTTACACGCAACCCGAAATTACCAAGAGCAGCAAATTCCGATAGCAGGATATCACATTTCAGAAGAGTGTTAGGTACAGCAACATTAAGTTTGGAAAAAAATGTAATCACAACATAAATACTCCACTGTGATCTTGTACATTTCTCAGCATTATTTGTGTGAATAATTGACAGGTCCTGACAGATGTCTTGATACCGTGCACGATTCAAGACATACCGGAGGGATTGAGCTTTGACATCCGCACATTTGCCAAGAAGATACCGGTTTGGCTTGACAGTTCGCTGGATCAAATGTGTGAGAAATTGCGAGCGCGGAAAATGAAAGGTAACCACATCCTAGAATTGAGAATAGCAAACCTTTTCCAACTGATGATTTATAGAGTTCCACACTTCATTTGGAAAAGTAGGTTTACTGGAATAATAAGACAGAAATCTCGTATCTTTCTCTTGGACGACCTGCATTGTCAAGATTATGGGCTGAACCTTGCCTTTTTGGAAGTCAGTACGTTTACTGTTTAGATATCGTCAAAGGAATCAGCCTGACGTGCCCTTGTAGACATAAAAATAGAAACAGTACAGGAAGAAGTTATCACTAACGTCTCTGAGTGAGTACATTCAACACCAATTGCAAATTAGCGAATAGCTTATGACAAATAACTTTCACAATCCTGTGCGATATTAAATGGGTGCCAACTTGGCTGAAGTGCACCCAGCTGCATTCCAGGCCCGGGAAGGGCGACCAGTGGGCACCGGCAGAGGTACCGCCGGGCGGGCATGCTTAATCTTATTCAACAGATTGAGATGGGACTGACTCATTCAACTGATTTGATTGCAGTGTTGTCTTCATTCGTGAGAAGTCTGCGGCGACAAATGTCGTTCGTGCAGTTAGCACAGGTAAAAGTCGTGTTTAATTTCTTTTCCGCAGAAAACATTTAATGTTAATTCCCATTAAATATTGTCACGAGCAATTGCTGTTACCTTTGGGAACCTTCTGCTGTGGTGTTTCAAATGTGCCGTATGCGTCTGGTCGGATTTTTCAGCCGGAGTCGCATTTTTCAGCCGGCGTTGCATTTTTTCAACCAGTATTCTGAAAAATCCTACCAGACGGCACATATGGAAAACCATACTTTTGCCTTGTTACACGTTTATTATTTGCCCATTTCCTGCAAAATGTCTACTCCACGTTGTACATCAAGAAACCCTGATGGAGTTGCTATGGCACATCCAGAATTTATCTCTAGAAATATCTCTTGGTGCTTAACCCAACCCCAAACTCAGTTGTGCCAGAGGGGACTAGGATGTACGACTATTTAGGTTTAGCTGTAGGTGTCCATTGTGTCTTTGTATTTCAAAAAATGAAACGAGAACTGGGGCAGGGGAAACCTCCATTCCTCCTTGAGTTAAAAACCATGTCAAAAAGGTACTATGAAATGAGCAATGGGCAGCACCGTGTTGCCATGACTACGAAATGAGCAATGGGCAGCACTGTGTTGCCATGTCAACGGTGTTGGGGGGTGAGAAATTCACGCTGGGAAATATTTGACCCCGGAACAACAAACATGAAGTCTCCATTTTCATTGTTTTTGTGCTCTGCGTCCAACCAGGTTGTTGTTGATTTTGGGTGGCATGATCAAAGTTTAATCGGCAATGGGTAACCTTCCTCTGCATGCTGTTAACCATGTTTACAGACGGCAAGAAGTGTGTTACTCAGCCAGGAAACAGTGAGCCAAATGACTCGAGATCTCGCGGAACTAAATATCAGCGGGAACATGACGCACGCAGATGTCAGCCAATCAGCATTTAGCGCTGCCAAAACAGGTAAGCCTGTGAAGTCTGGCGGTCTTCAACTTACCTGACTACGGCTCAAAAACAAAACAAAACAAAACAAAACAAAACAAAACAAAACAAAAAAAAAACACGCGTGTCTTAAAAAAATCTGTCAGTTGGCGCTTTCTTTAGGCACGACTAAATTATTTTGAGCCGTGAGTTCGGACGCAATTTGGACTGAGAGATTTTAAACTTCCTATTAAACGATGACAATTGTCAACCCCTAAGTCGACAAAGAACTGGGGTGATTTCAACTTGTTCAAGCCAGACCAGTTGCACTGCAGCAGATATTGGTGATATTGGCTCGGCAGTGTGAATATTCTGCTGGCCCACTGGATCCTTCAAGTGCGGCAAAAACAGTATAGGCTGGTCACCGTCAGACTTCTGACCGTACGAGACATCAAGACATGGTTATAAACCCATATCAGATTTCACGCTTTATGCACTTTTGTTCTTTGCACATTTCTGGGGAATATTATTTACGGTTTTCATACTTAAAACGCGTTTTTTTTTATCTCCCTTTAAACCTTTGACCTTTGAATTCGTAGTGTTGCAGGAGTTCAAAGGTTTGCTGGCCAAGCAAGCCCCTCTGGAGGCGTATGTGGAATGGACCGATAGCCTCATCGACCGATTTGTTCTCCAGGTATAGTGTAATTCGACCACCAGAATTAGAAACCATTACTGCGGTGGTGCAAAGCTCGTGGACAGGTGGTACGCGCGCGTTACATGCCCCTTCGACCAATAGGATGTCGTGATTTGCCAAATGCACGCGCGCGTTAAGCTGAAGAATGTGCATGTGAGTGCTGTGCCACCGCAGTTATGGCGTCTAATCTGATTAGTCTATAGGACGTCAGTTTCGACTCGTCCATTAAGGTTTGTGTAGTGCAAAATATCCAGCCAAAAGGAACAAGATCCCGCTGCAGTCTAAGGTGATTTGGAGCGCTTTCTATTAAACTACAAAAAGGGAAAAATCACTTGTCACCTTGAAGAAATATTCACAGTACCCCATGTTTACAACGTACATTTACATTTCTGATATTACGCAAACCCACTCATTGATATTTGTTTCAATTAATTAATTAATTAAAATGGTTGGTCTCATATGTGAAAATAATCAGGTAAACGTAAATGCAATGGAATACGTGAACACATTCATAAAGTGTAAACTGGTTAATCGGCGGAAAAGATATATTCAAATTTAAAACAAAATAATTCACCGTACCTGTCAATATCCCCGATACAGAAGATCTCAGGGAGCGATTGTGCGGACCTTTCTTCATCCTTCATGCTACAGTGGTCGTTTTTTACTTCCAAGATACTAAGAGACCTCACCCTGCAACGTGCATCTAGCTTTGGTAAGTATGCACCCTCCTTTTGTTGCACACATTAACTGCCATTTTTATTGGGCAGGCTAAATAACAATAAATCATACGCATTTTGATGAAATTATTGGATTTTGATTTTTGTGTGTGAGGTTTTTGATAGACCATTGTACCGACAGCGCCACACTTGTGCTTACAAATGTCCGTTCCACGGTCCACTGAACACCACAGAGAAGCACACACGTCAGCAAAAAGTGTGCTTCATTGGCTGCGTGAGATTTTTATATACTTTGCGAACAGACCACTATCTGATAATGTCAAAGCTATGTTTTATATATGTGTGTTTATGGTGCCCAGTGGACCGCGGAGCCCCACCATAGGAAAGCGCATAATATGCGAACGATCTCAGACGTGATCGATGCATAATTATGTCTATTAATCTTTTGTTTCTGTGCCAGCGGCTGGTCTCAGTTTGCCAACCCTAACCAGTGGTTGGCAAAAATTACGACTTTGACGCAGCAAAGTTCAAGTATATGGGGTATAATAAGTTCCATTGGTGCCGCAGCCAGAAAGCGCTTGCCTTGAAACGTCAATTTCATAAATGCACCAACATCTTCTGTATAATTGTTGTATTTACACATACACAGTGATTATCTGTTTATTCTTTCACCGTTCTTAGCACGAGTGCATGAAATTAAACGTATTTGGAATCCTGGTTAAAGTTAAATCACTTATAATTATTCAAGTACGGAAACTGCAACTGAAGTAACATACCTGAAGACGATAAAACTGACACCTGCTTATTGCAATAAATACCTTTTAGTGTCCGATGTTGGCATCTGTATTTCCCATGATGCAATGACAAAAGGAGTCTTCGGTCGAAGTAGCCTCTTGGTTGTAAACTGCATTGCTAACTGCTGTTTTCCTCTGTTCAAAAAATTAATATTAGGCCTAACTGAATAAAATTTTTCACCCTTTCAATTACAGTCACCATGTGTAAAATCCATCATGTTTCGTGTCTGCTGCTGCTGCTGTTAAGTTTGTCCGTCTAATGAAATTCTTGATGATCTCCTCCACGTGTCCTTGTAGGATCTTTGCATCTCATCCACATGATGTTGACGGAATACGCATTCCTAGTGGTGGAGAGCCAACAGGATCAACACCATCACGCAGAAATGGTTGACCATGTGCAGAAGAACATGAAACAAACTGGTAAGTGACAGCGCCCCCACCGTCTTTATTTTTTAACACCGTTGTCTATCTAAGGACAGTTTTCTCTTTGATTGCACTGATGTCGAAAAGAAAATTAATGAATTTTTGTTTGTACCATTCATTTATTCTAAAAAGAGGAGATCTGCACTAAAGCTACGGTCAGGTCCTCGGGTCAAAGGTCGTCACCAGGATCAACAGCTACCGTGAAACTGAAGCGAAGGAAGTGTTCAACAAGTCAAGCAGGTGCAGCGTAGTTGATTTCACGAATAACTTCTTGTGTTAACAGAAAAGTTACCTCTGCACTTATTTCTTTTTAAATATGTCACAGAAGAACAGTTACGCTTTTCTGTGCTCTAGTAGTGTTTGTAGCTTACAAAGTAGGAATATATTACCTTACAAAATGAACCAGGTCACTAAAAGTATTTTAATAAACTTGCCTGGAATAGTCACTCAGTTGCAGTTCTGTCCCAAACTGAGATGGCCTCACAATAATGTTGAAGTTACAGCACAGGGCAGGAACATGTCGAAAAAACCTTTAGATCATTTGAATATGACTTGACCCGGTGTTGGGTGACTACGAATGGCTCGTGTTGACTCTGAATGTGTCTGAAAGAAATTTTCAAGATCCCCTTTGATTCCGTTTAGACGAAAATTCTCCGAAGGACGGTCCTGATCCTCAGGATTCCCCAGACGGCAACCAGCGAAGGGACGAAGAGTACCAGGACTGTGGCGCCGGGTCATCTCAGCAGATAACCTGCGATGTACGCGAAGGCGAGGGCTCCCTCCACGCCAGTATCGAATTCACGGAGACGTGTCCAGGGCCGGTGTCTGCCCCCGCGGTGTTATCTTCGAGTTACGCTTTTCGCCCCTTTAGCTCGGAGAGGGAGCCTCAGCCCCCCGTAACGATCCATCACACATTTACCGAGGACCAGTCCCAGAATGGTTGTTTCTCTTCTGCTTATGCGAATTCATACTGTGACTATTACCCTGTGCGTGCTTCCACCCATGCGCACTCGTCCTACGACCCCCTGCATTATACTCATCGTCACCTCCCGCTGACGTATGGGAACTATGGCATACCTCCGGAGGATTCCATATATGGCGGCTATACTTCGGGATATGAGGTTACTGCCGCACCTTCTGTCCAACATTCCGGGTATGGCCCATCTGCCCATTCGCAAATGGACCTCCCTGAAGGCTACGGTTGCTACGTTAGAGCAAACGAAGCGCTAGCAGAAGCTCACAGACACAGTCACCTCCGGTTTAACCAAGGCTTCGAGAATGTTGTTGGTCACCAACCTCCCCAATCTGATGCAAGTGCCTGGTTTAACCCGCCAATCTCTGCCTGTGTGACAGGTAGGCTAAATGGAAAGAAAAGTCGCCCCATTATGACGACATATTGTCGACAAGATTGTTGACATTCTGGGACGATTTGTCACGGAACAGAATGTCCTGAAAGTATAAGTGATACATTATCTGAGAACTGCGACATCATAGTCGCGCTATGTTGTCATCCTTGGAGAAAAATCGGCGGATGGTCATCGTCCTGTGATAAATTCTCTCATGAGGGTACCAAGATGTCATTATCATACCTTCAGGATGTCGTTACTCGTGATACTTTACCCAATGTTGTTATCCTTTGATGAATTTTCTCAGGAAATTGACCCGTTATTTATCATAAAATTTCATTGTCCACAGATGGAATGTACAAGGGTCAAATTTAAAAGTTGGATGACACTTCCAGGGCTTATCAGTACCATACAGGAATAAGGTCCTTTGTTGGTTCTCTTTGTAGACACGTCGGCGTCCAGGCAGCTGACATACCCAACTGCCCATGAGCTGGAGGTACCCGGCACCTCTGATAGCTTTCGGAGTGTTGGTGGCGGGTCACGATTCATGGAGATAGTTCACGGCACGGCACCAGCGAGGGATCAGTCCACTGTGTTCGAGGAGACTGTGGGTTACCACTTACATGTAAGCAGGATACATGCGCCCGCGCACCTAACAAGACCTAATCCATATCTGGACTCCAATCTGTAACATAGCTCCAATGACAGATTAAACTGGTGTTCTGTTATAACTGCCGTGACTCCGGTTTTGAATGGAGTAAACAGCAATGTGCAAAATGCTAAAAGCTTCCGTATTTTTCAAGATGAATACGAAAATACACATTTAAGTCATTTATTTTGCAGAAAATATCAAAGAAAGAAACACGGGCTGAAGAGAAAATACCTTGATATATCCAGGAAGTCTTTCTTATACCCACAGTCGCGCACACAATTCAACAGTACCCGTATATTAAATTAACAGTACACATACATATATTAAACCTGTATTCATGGCATATTGCTAAAACAGCCACAAATTACCGTTCTGGCTGAGTACCTCGAAGACGCAAAATCGACAACCTACCTGTCAGATGACGAGGGTTTATTCAGGTGTTACATAAATGTGACCCTCCATCCCAAAACAGGACTGGATTTTTGTTAAGACACACCCCAACCAATAATAATATCCAGGGAAATGTATATACAAAAGCTACCATTAGCCTACCTTCTTTATTTACCCATTAAAGTTTACCGCTTAATCCACAGGTTCGACAACGGCATTCAACTTCAATCAAATAGTGGTTACAATAGCCAGCAAATTTAATGCTGCTGTATCTAAAATGAAACAAGCAACCCTTATGAAAGTATTCAATATGGATACGACTGTGTGGTTTTCCACAAGATTTGTGCCATAGTAAACCCAGATAGAGGATAGGGAGTTTTTCTAGGAATGGATAATGTTGCACTTTTCTGTCAATCTTAAGAACTCCTTCCTCAAGTGAAATTATCAAGTTGCGGACCTGTAATCAAATTATCTTATCGTACAAATTCAATATCAACATTCAATTATCATTAACTGATTTGATTGTTTCAGCTTAGCTGCTTTGCATGAAAAAAATCGATGTAAGTCACGGAACAGTGCTTGTTTGAGGCAGGCTTTACGTATGAGAAAATATCTGACGATTGTTGTGGTCATCTGCTGAAACGGAAAGCAGAGGAGGAGATAATACTCTTTTTAGTTGCTATACTGTACCTTGAATGAATTGTTATGAAAACCGTACATTCTATACTAAGAAGAATAAGTGGGATTTACAGACTCAAATTATTCCCATTTCAGTTCAATGCAGTTCGAGTATTTAACCTTTAACCCCACAACTCAAATTAAATTATGCATGTACATTATGAAACATTAAAGTAGGCTTTTACAAACATTGGAGATGGGTGTTGTGTCACTGTTGAGAACTTCAGATGTTCAATTTGAAAGTACTTCTTCTCAATGGACACAACTATGTGAAAATGGCATAGGAATAGCAGTGAAATATTTGTTTACACGTCTAGCCAGTCTTATAGAGGGTTTTGTCGTCTTTCCGTCGTGAGTTTGTTTCTGCATTCAATTGGGGACCCTGAACAATAGAGGACAATAAGGTCCCCGATTGACAGAGGGTCCCCGATTGACAACAGTGTACAAAACATATGGGTGGTCTCCAAAAAAAGTTAGTACAAACAAAAGAGGAACAATAGGGGGTCCCCGGTTGCAGGCAAATACACACTTGTGTGAGTGTGTCCAGTGTGGACTTGGGTTTGTATTAGTCTCTGTGTAAATTAAGAACACGTGGCCAGTAGGCCTGTTAGCGATATTTGTGGCCGGGTAGTTAAGTACCTGTTGACTCTACTAACACACTCTCCATCTACCGCGGGAAAATGTGTTGATCGTTGTGATTTGATCACTGCCAACCACGAGGTTTTCGACGCCTGTAGTGACGCCATTGATTCACAGACTCCCTATTTGCCAATTTGCTAAATGGGCCAAAGGCGCCACAATAATGCTGGCCTGCTGAGAAAACAATGGAAACCAATTAAACGAAAAACAATCTTGTTTAGGTTCTTTTTATTTAGATTGAAAAGGGGTAGATTTCCCCTCGATGCACAATGGATTTTTGTCACATTTTGTACATACTTTGAGGTATCTTTGAAGGAGTTTATCCATATTTTTAAGGTCACATTTATTGTTAGAAATCTTAGAAACTAAACAATACTTAAAGGTCAAAAGTCTTTGCCCATTTATGCTACCCACAAACCAGAGAACAAACAGCCAGTGGAACGAAATCAGCTGAGTCCAGGAAACTCCTTTATTACTTTGGAGAGTTTTGTATTTTAATTTAACTGTTGCGTCCCCCCCCTCTTTTTGTTTCAGCGAACATAGTCAAATGTCTTCAACCAGAGTCAGTTTCTTTGTTATTATTATTAGGGGGTCTGCCACAATTGTGACGTGCGTTGACCGTGTCAACGCGTGTCTCGCTGCCAATTCGTCATCTGCCTTGGACGTCCACAGCAAATGGCGGTTGATTAATCCCAGATGCAGCTGCAGACCTAGATGCGAGTTTAATCCCAACCTCCCCAATCGAATTTTTTCAATCTACTTATTTATTTGTAGAGGCTTACGTCCAAAGGACCACGTAGAGGTCTTATTTTGCAAGTGTTTGATTAATGAAAAAGCAGAGATTGAATGACCGCACCAAAGCCGACACCTGTATTAACCCACGCCTGCTTGTAGTACACCAACAAAACAATAAGAATTTACTGCTGCCGCAGCCCCTCCCCCAAGAAGAAAAAAAAAAGGAAGAAAGAAAACAACCCCCTCCCAAATTATAGGTTACATTTATGTATCTACAGCTGCATGTATTAATAAGCACACCGATCTAGTGTTGCACAATCTCCAAGATCGCCACCCTTGGCGGAAATGTGTTCTGCTGCACACCGGTTGCGCGTTATCAACCATCATGCTCTCGTTGTCCATGGTAATTAGCCCGTTGGGCGACGGTGGAGCGATTGAGTGAATTTGTTCCAGTTTTCTTCGTCGTTTATCAATGCACTATCACGCGTGCGTATTCCGGCTGTGGTCGTGATAATAGGCTCTCACAGCAACCGTTGGCGAATGAAATCGCACTACGTCTGTCCTCAGCGCTGGATACGGACGCGGACTTGACCATGGCGAGCTACAGGGATCTCCATGTCTCTACTGTACTACTTCTGGCGATATTATACCATTCGGCCCTTGCTTTGGGAGGTAAGTCAATCCTTCAGATAGTATTTTTAAGGTTTTGCGAGGAACACATGTTCAAAAGGAGTGGGACGTATCCTTGCTGACCACCTGAAAATCGTACCAAATCGGGTGCATGAGTTTGCAATAAGCATTATGAGTTGTGGATAACACTTGGCTTCTACACAATATAATTATGGCGATGCCTGGGAATGTTTTGTCAACTATTTACTCCTGTATGCATGTTGGACAACGATGTAGTGTTAAAGTGGAGACCACAAGATAGGCTACACGGAAAACAAGTAACTGGGTCAACAATAACAAAGCAATGTTTTATTGAAGCTAATTTGAGAAGCTCGTGACTTGAATTCATGCAGACTGGAGGTCTTGTGTTGGTCTTTTGATGGTCTTGTATAGCGTCATTTGGTACTCTCTAATTGGTCTTTACCACAATGATGGACAAATGAACATAGGCGTAGGCCTACATCATACAACCTTCCGTGTTGATATCGGCACATTGTGGTATTTGTTTTCAATAGTTTGATAATTGGCTTCATTATAGGCGTTGTTTTAGACAAGGATTGTGCGCAATGTATTAACCCTAACTGTGCTGAACCCAACAAGGTTATGCAGGATTTCAATGGTCCCTCCGGGGTTTGGGTTAAGGAAAATACCGAAGATGTGCTGTAATTATTATTCTTATTTTTTTGTTCTGTTCAAAACAGTTTGTTTTATATTTCCATTCAAAGTACTGTTCTTTTTTATCCGAATAAATTACTCAACCCTCTGAAGTGGTAGCTCGTTTTGGAAATTCTTATTTCCTCTCCTAACACAACGCAAACATGTCGGGGGAAGGGCTGCTAGCCCCCTACGATACACCTCTTGAAGAAATCTTCTGCGTCTTAAAATCGGTGAGAGTTTTTGGAACTGTAAACAATAATAATTTCATGATAGCTTCCACTTCCCTAGAACACTGATTTGCAGAGATAAAGAATGGAGTTAAGTGTGTTTCCACTTCAAATTGGTTTCCCTTGAAAACAGATTTGCTCTGTAGTGGTTAAACAGTGCTCCATTTCTTTGAAATAATGTGTTTCACACATACAAAAATGAAAGCAAAATTAAACCTTAAAATTTAAATGGCAGCATTCATTTTTGATATTTTATCCCCGTCAACTTGTACCAAAAAATGTCTTGTTTTGGCAGAATGCCACACATATTGCCGGTCAGATCAATGTATTCAATGAGTTGCACAAGCTTCCTTGATTTTGAGCGTTACAATACAGCCGTTTCATAATAGTGCGCCACTAAGGGTTTGCAACGCGTTGGCCAATCACAGTGCGCAAAATTTGTCGACCGAATGCGCATTTGGAAGGGTCGACAAATTTCGCGAGTTATGATTGGCCAACATGTTGCAAACTCTTGGTGGCGCACAATTGTGAATCGCCTGTATTGCTTTGTACTTCTTCTTTTTGCAGGACTGAGGAATAAACAGTAATTAACTTCTTTTAAATTCGGTTACCAAAATCTTTATAAAGTAATTGTTGTGATACATGAATTGGCGATAGGGGTGGTAGTACTGAAAATGTTTGAAACCTTTATATTTTATTTTACATGCGTTTAGTACGTACTTCAACGGCACAGTGTAAATTATAAGGAATAATTTCTTCGGAGAAACAGTGAGCATTTTTCACTGTCTCGGTTTTCACAACTCGTAATTCGTAAACGTAATTCTTCCCGTCGGGCCTGTTTTACTTTTTGGTTGCAGCAGTCATATTTGTCAATCGTGTACAGATTTGTGTGTAGGCTACGGGAAAAAAAACAATATTAGGAACGATCCACAGGAAGTTCTCACCAAGAAGGAAGGGAACGAGCACATCTTTTTCATCCTGTGTGAAATTTCTCAAAACTATGATCAAATTGCATATCCTGCGGCCTCGGCCAGGATTTCCCATTAATCACAGCGAGTAGCTGAATGTGACGTACATCAAACATGTCTGATAGAGGAGGCTCTTAGGAAGTCAATACTGTCAGCGCGAACTCTGTAAAATCCAAGGGAACGAAGCAAATCAAACGAGACACAAACCGAATGGACATTTTCATACTATGCTGACATACAACCCTTTGGAGGACAGGTTTGAATGTGTACCTTGCGTTTGGGAGAGGTAAATTTCAAGTGCAGGTTTGCTCCGACAGCCGACGTACATTAATCAACACGGTATGCTCAGTGTCTCTCTGAGAGCTTTTGAAAAAACACAATTCAGTAAACTTTTCAAAAGCTCTCAGACAGACCCTGAAATACAGTGTTGATTATTATACGTCAGTGTAAAGGCAAACCTCGCTATTAAAAGGACAGGTTTACTTAGTAATGTTCCCAAACAATTATTTGAAAAAAAATGGCACACCCCTTTTTTCAGAAACACTCAGCGATGCCACGCAAACAGGACTTGTGATAACATTGACCTTGTGATTAAAAGTGCGGGTAAACTGATGTCCAGAAGCCAAACGACGCCTGCAGTTAACTTGGGCAGTGAATTAATCGAGAAAGTTAATTTAATGTGATCTTAACCCTTACAGCACTGAAGGACCCTGTGAGTTCAGTCAGGCGCAATATAACCCTCCAATTAATTCCAGTATTTTCATGCTAGCTCTTTTGAAGTTGCTCCTTTGTTTGCTCCTGCCGGTATATTTTCTCGAGGGTTTTGATTTACATCTGGTAACTGTCCAACATCTTTGGCACATGTTATGCTTTATTCAAGGATTCCTTTCCAGATGTTTGCCTTTAATTTGTTTTTCATTGCTTTATTAGTTTGGTCAAAAAGCTCCAAAAGAACTACAATGCCATGTGCTACCATTATTTCAAGATTAAATTAAAGTGATGAAAATGGCCAGAGGTGATTATATCGCTTATTTCTTACTGCCTCTGGTGAAAAGCACGATAGCTTATTTATAATCGCTACTTTTTCCCCCAAGAAAAGACGAAGAATTCAAGTTAAAGAGAAGGGAAACATGCTGCACCTAGGTGTTCACAGGAATTGAACCATAATCACTATCATTTTACCAACCGCTGATAAGAAGGTACAATCTTGGACAACATTATAGGGGCACATGTCAATGACCAGACCCTTTTCGGGTCCCCCACTCCCTGGGGCAATTTGCCCCCCCCCCCAGAGTTGCATCGTAGCGGGCACTGAAACCTAATCTTGAGGGGAGGGGGGCATGCACGTTTGGAGGGCACAACGTGATCTGGCTAGAATTGCAGGCTATTAAAGCCAAAAAAACAAAAAACAAAAACAAAACCTAGAAAGCTTGCTGGTAATATAGGGTTTTCGGGTCAAATATCAACAGTAATAAACGGAATGTCAAATTAAGTATGCGAAATGTCAATAGCCAACCAAATCTCCCTACAATAGGATGAAGCCTGAGCAAATTCCACCTTGCCACCCAATATCAAAATAGATAATTCAAATGTGAAGAAGGGAGTCATATATCCACATAAAGAAAATTGTTATGTAACCAAGTGACCATTGGTGCATAACGTCATGACAGGTACGGCAAATGCGGCATTGGTCATTCAAATATCCTAAGCAAGATGTTAGGTAGCTATCGTGTTGAAGACTTTAGAAATTAAGTACAATATGCCAGAAGATTCCCGACGCTGGCAAGCAGTGACTTTACGATACCTATGTAAAATTTCATTTTGTTGAAATGGACAGTAATTTTACCTCACCTGGAAATCATTTCAAAGACCAATGCAATGAAAAGAAATAAGCCTTAGTAACAATTGGTTTTTAAAATATCTACCAAATTTTTCGGGTGAATGTTTCATCTCAAATCATTAAAAACATCCACTCATTGAAATCACCGTGTAACGTTTAATTTGACCCACCCATTGGAGATTTTATTTACCTTCTGTATATTGTACCTTGTGGCAACCTAAAAGACCTATTTGGACTCACCGTAGTATCCGTGATATATTGTTTATTTTGATTATTACTATACAAGTGTGGATATTTGAGCTGAAAAACCTATAAGAATGGCATTATATTAGGCATTTGGCCAGCACCAGCACTATGTAAAGTCTTGCGCACAAGGGTTACCAAAGGAACAGTGTGGGTAGATATCTGTGGTTCAAATCCTGGTTCATCCCTGGGTTATTTTCTGAGGATGTCGTTAAGAAAAAAATAATGATTAAGTAATCCTGTCCAATTTGTAGCATCAAGTTATATTCAAGAAAAAAAAAGTTCAACACATTATCGATGTTTAGCTTAGCTTATTTGCGTGAAACATCGTGAAGCCATGCTTAAAGCGGTTTATACTTAAAACGGTTGGTAGTCAGATCATTTTTATCTTGACAGCCAGAGGCAAGACCATGTACAGATTTTTGAATTAAAGATTCCTGTTTTCAACATTATAAGGATTATTTCAAAGTGCCTGTCTTGTTTGTTGTGGTTTATGATGCAATTCAAGGTGTGGCCTCCATTTTTGGGGATTCTAATCTACAGTCAGAGTAAACAACAACTCGAAAAGGGAGATGCCGCACTAATAGGTATTGCGTCATGCTCAACATGGATCAATTGATTGATTAGTGCGATTCGATCTCCCTTCGTTTTGATCCGTCTTTAAGTCTTCGTCTGGACGATTGGTTTTGCCCAATAGTGGCAGACCATTGTGTAAACCAATACACTGGTATAGTGGAATATAATAATCTGTAAAACACACTTATTGTGGTGTGGATTGGGAGCAGGGTGAAAACAACGACTTTATTCATATCTAAATAGAAAAATCCTCCTCTAATGCCTAGCGTATCACATTTTGGGTTAATGATTTTGCTAACGGACAGTTGAAATCTGTTCAAGAGAACGACACTCAAGATTTGTGAACGCAGCAAAGGCTATAAGATTAGGTGTAGAACGTAAAACAAAATTTGATGAAGATTTTTCAACAACTTAGCACACTCAAAAACTGTAAAGAAATTGCTGTTAGATTTACGGTGGCCTTACGTACTCTGCATTTCCACTGAGACTTGG